TACTTATTTTGTTATACATTTTCTTACATTATATTCATATTTCTATTTATTACGTTTTAATATCCACCACTGGAAAAGGAAATTTCAGAGATCCTATAAAGTCTTGATCAACGTGAACTTCTGAATCGATTAAGCCATGTATGTCTGTAAATTTCAAGATGCCGTAGAGTTTTCTTCGGTCGTAGCTACAGTAAGTGCTCATTCGGTAGAAGCGTAACATTTATCGATTGGTCAAAATCCCACTAGGCTGCGGCCCTATCACCCTATTTCTTTCTCTTTTCTCCATTCTTTGTGATGATCACCATATTACACGAGTAGGAGGCATACCCTGGGTGATTGGTCATGTTAAAAAAAAGGTGGTATGAATAATCGGAATTCAAGACTACCATTAAGCCAGATAAAGTAAACTCCATAGTTTAGCTGTCGGAATTGTTATGTGAACCATTTGGTTCAATTAGCCCTGAGAGAATTGTTTCCTTGCTTCTTCTGCTTGCGGAGAGTCTCCGTGAAAAACGTCTCTTGCCAGAGGGCCGAAAGTGGCCACTTCGGGGACTTTTATAGTTACTACCAAATGGTACACATAAATAATAAGATGTTAGGTGTTTCCGCCTTGTCCAGGGGGACGAAAAATACACACTCATTCTCGAATTCTGGGACACCAGGGGAGATAGGTTTCCTTAAACGATGGATATTGTGCTACTCACTGGCTCCCCAGCTATCATTTCATATTTAACCAGCATGTGGTCGGCTGCCGTGAAATTAAATACTAAGCACCGAATGAATTACAGCAATTATTGCGAAAACCTCCAAGATAAAGTTTTTCTGGAAAAGCTTATTTTCTAAAGTCACGAACGCGATATAATTTGGTGCTAAGAGAACTTTTGAGAGTTGCCAAAATTTTTGGTTGCTTTTAAAAATATGTCTCCAGTAAATTATCTTAAAATCCTTTCAAGCAATCTTCAAATAGTCATCTTGCTTTTTAAATCGCTGAACCCGAACGTGAGATCAGTCCCGAGGTTAGGTGATAGCTCTATCAGCTCGCAGAAAAACTTTAAATTTGAAAAGACGAAGCATTGATAGATCTTCTGATCAAACCAAGCATATGCTTTTTATTTGGTGTTTGTTTTATCAAGAATACTGAAATATGAAGCGGGTAACCGTCAAAACTGCTTGGGCCTATGATTCTAAATATTCTGTCTCGAAAATAATTTCGTGTAACAACACAACAGTGAAAAAATATTACGGCTTGATTACTGAATCGAAAGTGGATTTTGGGGAAAAAATATCTTCTTAGTAAGTATTAAGGAACTTCTGCTTATGCAGAAAAGTGTTTGCCCATGATATGTTAGAAGCTTCTCAGAGAACATTTTTATCGCGCGACATGAGCAATTTCTAAGCACGATTTAGGCATACATTCGCAAAGTATTTCGCATTTTATACATTTGGTGGGTAGCATTTGTCAAGATACATCTGTGTTTGTTCGCATTTTGTTTGGGGTATAATTGCCTCCTTATTAGGTAACACCTTACTTAATAAGTTCGCAGGATGACATGCAGATGTAGGATGACGATTGCAGAACGCATACAAGTTTTAGATAATACTTGTCTTTAGTTAACAAGTAACCGTTGTTTCAATGATGCTACACACGAAAGTCAGATTTTTTCATTTTTCCAAAAAAAACAAAGGTACCGTCTCCAACACAACTGCAACTTGTAAACTAATACTTGGCATGTCATAAAACTTTGATATATTCCGTGTAAAGGTTGGTAACGTCTAAAAATTGCATCGATACGTTAATAATGGCGACATTTAAATGCCATCCTACGGCCCTACGTTCATAAGTTGTGCGGAGTGCTTTAGAAAAGAAAATCAACAGCAGATTCAGAAATTAAAGGAGTTACTGTACTTATTTCTTCTCTCTACTTTCGTTTGCCTTTTCAATCATTTCCACTTCTAAAAGGAAATTTAAAAGTAGCTTTCATTTTCTTCAGTTTCATTCCCAGCACACAATTACTTAGAAGTACAACTTTTCTGTAACACGATGCACTGAATACTTGCTCCTCGCTTACTCTTACTTCTTTCCTTTACCACTCCCTCTCACTCTTTCAGTTATTTGGAATGCTGCAATTAATGAAAAAAGCTTTTGTATGCTTATTTACACACTCACACGTGTATACGTATGTCGGGCGTGATATCCGCATATGAATGCATTGAGAGAAATTATGAGAAAAATGTTCATTTAATTTCATGTTATTGTCACAACAACACTTGTTCAGAGACAAATTAGTAAAGTAAATATTGTAACTTTTTAATTGAAAATCCATTTAGTTATCTTCGATTTTCTAAACAAAGCCAAGATCACACATCAACACGTATTTTATATAAATGTATGAAATTGTTATGGACGTGAGTAATGGTAGTAACAAAGAAAAATAAGAATAAATATCTGACCTGAATGAAGTGCTTAGTTAAACCATCAAGCTGTTGTTACTGTTATTGTTGGTGTTACTGGTGATGTTGCTGTTGTTACAAGGGCTATTATGACTATCAAATACAATATAAGGATAAGTTTATGAGTGAGTACTAGATTATATGCATGTATGATTGTTTGTATATGTTTATATGTTAGTTTGTATTTGTTACTGAGAAGATCAACAACAACGTGCACTTATTGTCTTATTCAGTAAGAAAATTTTTGCAAAAAAAATTCCTTGCTCGCATTGTATATGGAAAAGCTATTGTGATACACATAACATTATCAACAACAGTAGCAATATCCTGTTCCTTTACTCTATAAACCTATAGCTTTGTTCTCTCAATACATGGTGCATTCTTACATAAAAGCTTGACTGCCTAACGGACTGTACGCTTGACTGTCGGTTTGACTGCCTACATGCCTGTCTGCCTGCCTGCCTGCCTGTCTTCTCGGCATTACTGCCTTGTATCCTAACATAGACCTTATAAAAGATAGAAAATTTTCTGCAATTTTTATTTATCATTTTTCCCATATACGCAGATATGTTCATATATGTGAATCTTGTGTAGTAAAGCAAACATTGTAAAGCAGCTGCAATAGCAGTCCAGATACACGCAAACGTATATACGCGCGTATAAAGCGATAAGTACAGAACAATGCTTGTCTTGTTTTTAGCAATTAGCGCATATGCTAATGTTTGTTTATAGAGATGCAGCAGTGTTCTTGTTCTTTTCCACCTTCTATTTTTGCTTTCGCTTTTGTTTTACAATTTCCTAGATAATATTTAATCCTAGAATGTGTTGTACGGTGTACGTGTGTAACAGTGTACGAATGCTTTTAAATTATTATAAGACGTTGCTACTAACTCAGGTGTCGTTACGAAATGTTCTTTACTTTACCGCCTCTTCATGTTCTTTCCAAGTTTTCTTCCTTTCGCATCAGAGAAATTGAAAAATCTCTACGTTAACATGAAAATTGATTACTTTCTTTTGTACATATAAATGCCTGTATAAGCCAATGTGCTTGTGTGCATGTATGTGTTTGTGTGTTTGTGTTAAAAGAAGGGAAAATAATGCATACTTTTTTTGTTGTTTTTATTTTTTCTTATCATACATGATTTTGGTTACTTTTTTGTTGGTTATTTGGGTCACTGTGTGACAACATAAGACAATACATGCAAACATTTTGTTTAATGGCTGTCACTGCATTAGAAGAATGAAAAAGTAATCAATTTTTGCGTTAGTACTTGTATATGACTATGGCGCTTGTATAAAATTTGCTTAGCATCACATTACACAGGTAATGATGTGGAATTAACAGCAATGTCCTTAGAGTGTCTAGTGTATGTTGAATGTTTAATTAATTACGAATCATATCTATCTGCACATAAATAAATGCTTGTGGCAAGTAAGTAAATTAATATCATAATATATTATTATAGCATGATCATGTTCACGCAATTTTTTTTATATCTCTTAAAAATCGCGTGCTATAAATGAGATTAGTATGAAATTTAGAAGTATCTCCTTTTCTTTTAATTATTTCTTTTGTTTAGATCATTTACTCTATAAATAATAAAAGGGAAAGTAAATAAACTTCTTACATTCTTTCATTGCTTTAGTTTTTTATTTTATTTTTATTTTTTTTTATGGACTTGGAAACATTAATCACTTATCCTCGACAATGTAAGTTTTGTATATGAATTTAATCGATGTAATCCTTTTCAAATTTTCTTAAATATCGCAAGCTATAAATGACGTTACAATTTTTCTTTATTAAGGCTAAAAAACACCTAACACTGATTCTCCATTTCACGTAAATATATACAAAAAAAAAAGGCAATAATAATAATGACAACAACATAGTAAAACTGAATTTAAAAAAAATTTTTTTGCTTAAAATTTTTTCTTTTCTATGCTTCGATTCATAAGCATTTATCATACCATTATATGAATTTGTAATTTGTATTTAATTCACGCCATTTACTTTAAATCCTTACGGTAAGCAAGTAAATTGATTGCTTAAACACATAGAGGATGTTCATGCATTCACTTTTTTGAATACTTTTAACTATCACATGCTACAAAAGAGATCAAAGTGAAATTTGAAAGCATATGTTTTTTAAATGAGATTAAAAAACAGTTATGATTGAGATTAATAAACATTTATCAGCAATTTGTCACTAATAGACATTAAAACCGAAAACAAATAAGTTTTTGATAAAAAATATTTATCACTACCGTTTTGCAGCAATAATTTTTCATTTGAATTTATCTACAAATGCTCTTAAAAAGCGCATGTTATTAATGCGATCAGCAAGCAAGTTGAAAGAATCTCCCCTTTTTTTACCGAGTTTTACTTATTCCCTGCTGTTCATAGAGATATTGAAAATGTGTTCAAAATAACACCCACGATATTATGAAACCGAATAAAATTTTCTTATGCCATATGAATTTTTTATTCGAATTTAATTCATGTAACTTTCTTTAAAGGCTTTTAAAAAGATAACTAAGTTGGAAGCATCCCGTTTTATCCTCATTCACAAGACGAAGTGACTTATCACACAGGGCATGCCGGGAATGCATGTATAAAAATTTCGATACGAAGAACAAGGTAATAAAATCGAAAATAAAATAATTTGTGACATATTTCTTCCTTTTTTTTTTTTTTTTGGCTTCAAAATCTTTTTTGCTGTCTTCTCTTTTTAGCTGAGATTAAAAAACACTTATCACTTACCCTCTGCCGTACGATAATGTAATAAAACCAAAAATAAAGTAATTTGTGACAATTTTTTTGTGCTTATTTTTTTGCATCAAAATTTTCTTCAAGTTTTTTTTCTTCACTTTTTTATTACATTAAAATCATTTGTATGCGCGCATGTTTATGTATGAATTTAAAACATTTGATTTGTTTGTTGGCGCCATCGTCTACTCTTAGTTGAACCAATTTTCAGTTGTTTTTTTTTTTTTTTTTTTGCGCTTGATAATTTCAAGTCTGCTCTGTTGCCAGCTTTGTCTTTATGGCTTAAGTCTGTGTTTGTGCCTGTTGTTGTTGTTGCTCTTATTGTATCAATACAATTTTTGTGGATTGTAAGCATTTTGTAATTGGCATAAAATGTCAATTGATTATAATGTTATGTCGTATGTCTCTCTCTATGTGCGTGTGTGTATCTGAGGAGAAGGAAAAAGAGCGCAAAAATCAGTTAGAAACAAGTACGTACACAAGACTGACATACATAACGACAAAATCCTTTAAAATACACAAAATTAAACTTAAATATGTCGATTTGCATTAAAATTCTAATTTAAAACAATTGTTGTTACTGTTGATCTGCTATAGTTTTTAGATTAAGACCAACATAAAAATAATGTAAGCAAAGATTTCTATTAAATAATTTCAAAATCTCTTACGTACTGTGACACTAATATCAATAGAAATTTGGAGCTTAAGTTGATGTCAAATACTAGCACACACTTCTCATTTTCTTAACTGAAACTGAGCTATTCGCGAGTATATCCTTCAACTTTCAACTTACATATGTCGGACGAGAGTGACTTATATTAACCGATATAGAACCGATATTGTCTTTAAGAGAACGTGGAACCGCCTACAATTCATTTTCTTATGAAGGGTGCCTTTGGTTGCAAGAAGTGCTTAATGTGACGGTAACCGGTTGCTTACCGAATGGATCAGCAGGTTGCTTGATTGCCAGTTATTTATAAACGAATTTTCGCATAGCTAGTTGCATGCCGTGTGATAAGCTTTGGTAATAAAAGCTATTGGTATAGGCTCGATTGGCCAAGACTGGCCACAGTTTCTTAACACCATTTTTCTATCGTTCTGATAATCAGTTGATTACTTATAAACGACTGTCGTGATCCTTCTCTGATGTGGCTTCGAGTTGGGGCAAGAACTTTAAAGAAAGTCTAATTAAGAAAACTTCCCAATAAGTTTGGTTATACAGGTGAGACGCACTGTCAGGAAGTAATGCAGTTTTCTTAGACAACTTTCTATATATACATTCTGGACCTTATGGTTAGATAGCGCGTGTGATAATGTGTACTACATATTGTCTCAAATGCGACATCGAAATGGCAAGCATAAGTTAGTTTTACACGTTAAACCGTCCACGCCATTTGGTCGAATGAGATCGTAAATGCTGTCTTGCTAAAACAGCGTAATAGCGTAAAGAAAGAATAATTGGTCCTCATCGGTGAAGAAGAAAGCGTGTCCAGTAGGCAAAACATGTTTCGCAACGCATCACCTGAGATATTGCTCAAAGTCCGTACATCTGTTTTAATCATCAATTTACTTTGGCGTTTGCCAATCTTTTAACTATGATATAAATTTTTTATAATTCATATGTAACTTTTGATTATGTCACTTACGTTCCTCTAATCACTTGATATTACAAATCTGCTATATTGGTGTGTAAAGTCTATCTTGTGGTGATTATGCTCCATAGCGCTGTGCAATGTGTATGTTGAGTGTTGATGAATCTTTCAAGGAACAAAAAAAAAAAGAAGACATATACATACCGGCTTTACGGGCCTCTGGGCGCTTGACTTTTATTGCTTACCCGTCGTCCATCTCTCGATTGGAATGTGATTCCCCGCTCGTCACCGCGGTTATCAGCTCTGAAAGGTTTGATAAGTGATGAATTAATTCTATCGAGTGAGGGTTTATATACCGTCAATAATACTACGGTTGAGTACTACATGTTTGTGTGTCACTAATAAATGTTGATCATTTTGTAATAGTTTATAATTTGTTTAAATTTATGTTTGATCTTGTGTTAAACAGATGTTTTGATCATATGCAGACAGGCGAAGTGTGTTACATTGTTGAGCGAATCATAAAAGTATTGAAGTGATATGTATTATTGTAAGTTTGTCGGGTTTATTGTGCTTTGTAAAAAAACATATTACAGCTCTCTTTATATAACCACATTACAGACTACTTCATACTCTTCTACATTAACATTATGGGATAATTTACCAATATTCTTCTCTTCTTTCGTCCGCACGTTTACCTTCCTTTTTACTATCTTCAGGCGGTATATTTCTCATCGTACGTGAAAAGTTCTAAAACCCGTAATAGATAATGATGTAGAATGTTATGCAAATGTATATCACTCATTTTCATGTATGTCTCATTTAGTTCGCATACGCTTCAGTCCATTTTGCATCAAGGCGAGTAAAAATTTTTTACTTATGTTTTTTTGGCGTAAATTAATATCTTTTTATATTTTATATATTTAATATAAATTTCATACTTACCAACGAACTCTGGAGATATACTTAATCATATTTTTTGTTTTTGACGGCGCATAGAATTTTTTCAAAAAGACCTTCTGGAGTTGTCTGTATACCATGTAACAAACTACCGCGGCCAGTTGTTCTCTAATCACATTGCCCGACTTCAGAGGAACTAGAGCTAGTTTTTTCCAACGTTATCTTATGTCTTCGTTTTCAAGCCTCACGTTCACAAACACTACTCCCTTTCTCCACCACTCTTTTCTTATAATCTCCCCTGAACCTCATCAACTAATGAATGAAATAAATTCGTAGACTAAAAAGGAAGCAAGAGAGATAGATAGATAGATAGATAGATAGATAGATAGATAGATAGATAGATAGAGAGAGAGAGAGAGAGAGAGAGAGAGAGAGAGAGAGAGAGAGAGATTTTTTCCTTGAAGGTTACATTGGTAACGTCCATAATTAGGGTGCAGAAGCTGCAGGCTTTACCACTCGGTCAACTTGGTCATTCTTCAATTAACGGATACGACAAGTTACCCGAAGCATTCTAATTTTATCACCGCATGTTGTCTTGATTTTTCTTATTTTATTGATGGTTTTTCCAGCTTGAAGTCGATTTACAAACAGACTATCAGTGACAATAACAGTTTTGGGTTCGTCTTTATGAGGAAGCCTCGCAGTGTGAAGTAAAGCTCTATCCAGCGAAATATGCGATTGGGAAGAAGCAATAACCCAAGGCATTGACATGTGGCAGATCGCCGTATTTAGAGGAAATCGTCATTTTCCAGCATTTTTTCAGCAACGATATTTCTGAAGACGCAATCTATGGTGTCCTATTTTTTCTACATAGAGAACAAACTCTCACACGGATCGGGTCCACACATTACAATAATATATATTCAAATAACAAATATTATTTTGAAAAACACGGAAAACAATTTGAAATTTTCAAAATTACTCAACGGAAGTCGTTCGACAAATTTGATCTGAGAATTTCAGATCGCATTTTTTAATTTTTCAACCATTCGGTTATGTAGCCGCTCCTATCAAAAAGGCGGATCCTTATATGCTAAAAATGTCTAAAGTTTAAAATTTTATGATGAAAGCCGATCCATATACCAATTTGGAACCATGTAGGCCCACTTTTTGTACTACATCTCATGTAGAGGTTTTTATTAGAAACATTCTCTTTACATGGTAGACAATCTAATTATTAATACCTTATAAAAAAGATAGGTAAAGAATAATAGGACCTTTGATTCCACGAAAGTTTCAATCACGTCTGCTCATTTCTTGGGCCTGGCATGAAATGTATGTCTTCCCATAGAAACAAGACATGATTGATGATTTTCGTGACAAAAATAAATGGAAACGTAATTAATCTATTTAGTAGTCGGACAATAAAATTTTTACTTATTGTAATCTATACTGAAAAATAAGGCAAACATTTTTCAAAATGTTTTATTTTCTTCTTTTTTTTTCTTTTTTCATAATAGATCTCAACGCATCCATCAGCCGTAGGAACAACTTTTCTCAATTTCATTTCACATCTAAAAGAAAATTTGAAATCATTGACAACTTGATGACGTGAGCAACACAAGAAACATAACGAATGGTAGTTTCGCCATAAATCATACATACACTTGGCTTTCAAGCAGAAGAACCAAAAAAATAAAAAAAAAAAAAAAACTTTCAGTAATCTTTCTTGAGTTATACGTATAAGTGTGTGCGTGTGTATGTTTGTGTTTGTTTGGGTCCTCATACACAAAAGTTTGCAGCAGATTAGTCATGGAAACTGACACAACAATTGACATTTAGTCTTTTTTTGTCTCTTCTGTGTTTTTGGCTTCTTACATGAGTTCAGAGTAACCGCCGGGTTAAGCTAAAGTTAAATTGGGAAAAACGAAAGGAAATCGTCTCATATTCAGCTGACATGTTACATATATACATAAAATACACGCACATGATAATATCTGTATGTCACTTAATGTACCGCAAAACTTACAGTACAGTCAGGAGATGATAGAAATGACGACGTGAGGACTGCAATATAACGACACAAAAACAAACAGAGAGAAATGACAGTAGAATAAAATGGTCAGTTAGACCCGAAAGTTTAAGAATTAAGCTACAGTTACTTTTTATATGCTAAATAAACAATCGCATATTGTATGCACATATACGACATTGTGTGCGTGTGCCAATACTTGGATTGTTTACGATTACTGAGTACGCATGCATATATATGTGTATATTTTTTCTTGTTCGCTGACTGACTGGTTAGCTGGCTGGGATGGCTGACTGGCTGGCAGTAAGAGTTGCAATGTCAGTATTTCGACAAATTCTTGTTGGAAAATTTGAAATTTAAATTGAAAATGTTTCTGTGTGCATGTGTGTGTGTGTGTGTGTGCACGTGTAATATTAAAATAATAAAATGCAAACTTTTTCCTTTTGTTGGTGTTCTTGAGGATACTGGAATGAATTGAAGCTTATTGAAGAATGTTGGGGGTTCATATGTATCATCAAAGCTCCAGCCTTCCATCAGCCTTAGCATGGTGGAGTGGCAGCAGCAACATCATTGTCGTCAGCAGCATTATCATGAGCAT